ACCGGCCACGGAGCGCCCCCACGCGGCCGAGCCGCTCGCGCAGAGCCCGCCTGGCTGTTATTTAGGGGCTCCCATCTCGCCGCCTATATAATTCTCGTGAGATCTCCCCCAGCCCCCATTCATTTAACGCCGTGGCGGGGTCTGGAGCGGCGTCTTGCTCTCGGGTCCCGGGTTCTGCGAGCTTGGCGTCTCCCCGCCGCCACATCTGGCTTTAATCCTCCCTGGCGAGCGCAGAGGCAGCTCAGACTGCCAACAAAAGACCCGGGGAGCCCTCGGCCTCCGCCGGGACGTGCGTCCCCAATACCCGAGTCGGCCCAGCCTCGGTGCCTTCCTCCAGCCGCGGGTCCCGTTCCCCGGCTGTGCTGCCAGGATGTCGTTCCCGGTGACAGAACCCGGGATCGGTTTCCACCCCGAGCCCCGTGATACCAGGCACCGCAATGACGGTCCCTGACCTTCGAGACATGCCCAATGAATAGGCATCCTACCCCTAATTTACAGGTGAGATCGAGACTCGGAAGATTAAATAATTAGAAAAAAGAACTAAAGCCGTGATTTTAAATAAAGGTGCTTTACGTTCGAACTCCTTTCATTTGTCTTTAACTCTACCCCTACCCCTTGAGAACTAATCAGTTACTGTACCATAGATAATTGCCAAGAAGATAACCATCTACCTAGAAAGCTTGAGTGCTCTGCACGCTGTTTTTTTTTTCAGGATCCAGTTGTGCTGACTGCCCTTAGTAGTGTGACGACACTAACACTGAAGCCTGAAGACTGGTGAGGTCACGGAGTAAGTGCTACCGCTCGCTTGTCTTCCTGGGGGTAGGACTGCAGTCTAGGGTGATACAGACTGCAGTCCGCGAGCCCCAGCAGCTCAGAGGGAAACGCGGGGACCGGCTAAGAGGGCGGGGCAAGGCCTGCTTTTTGCAAAGAAGGTTTTCAGTCTGTGCCGTTCCGATTGGTGGAAAGTTTGTCAAGCCTGAGAATGGCAGCTATGTCAGCGTTGGAGTGGAGAAAGGGTTAACTCGAATACTAGTGGGCGGGAAAGATAAAGGTCAGGCTTTTAAGTGGTAACGTTTGAATGAGCAGTTACAATGCTTTCTAAATAAATAGGACTGGCAGGAAAATCGATGTAAACTGGGGTTTAGGGTTAAAGACCTGGTCCAATATCCTGGGAGAGTTATCTTCCCAAATGTTCTCTGCCTCTAGTCCTGGCAGTGTTCCGGTAAATTTCAGGTGGAGATCTACTGTAGGCTGACAGGCCATTCAGAGTGATGGGCCCTTTTGCAATGAGAAGCATTAATCCATGAGTCCATTACTCTAAGTTTAGCAGCAATATGGATAGTTTAGGAGTACTTAGCATGGTCCCTTCCGAGGCCTTTGAAAGGAGGCCTTGAGCTGGTGATGTTTCCAACATAAGTAGCCACCAGATGGGTGGTCACGAGGTTTGGTGTGTTCGTTTTCCGGGAGCACACTATGAAAGGAATCTAGGACTAGTGTAGTATTACTAATGAGAGTCTTAAATTCCTGGCAGTGATGGAGGATTTCACCTTTGAGAAGGGCTGGTACAGAGGCCCCTTCTTCCAAGTGCATAGGTGTCCCAGAACTCATTTCCAAGGGGGATGGCTGATTTTTGTCAAAAAGGATGGATCATTGGTGTTTTTGTAAGTTTGACGAACTGGCTTTTTACTATTTCATTACTGCATTTTATTAAAAGACCTGGGGTGGTAATGCACAATGAAAATGTCATATACAGCAGATATGACAAGTTGTATTATTGCTATGCAAGTTATTTAAATCTGAAAGTAGTTTTTAAAGTCTTGAATGTATGTGCTTTGTGTAAATTTTTTTTTGAAAGATTTATTTATTTATTCATACAGAACTGGGGTACAGGCCAGAGATGCGGAGGGTGAGAGGATTCACCAGAGACAGAGTGGGAAGCAGAACAGGCAGATCGACGAAGTACACTGCTGAGGGGAGCAGCGGGCGGGTCAGGAGAGGTCTGCCACGCCATGTGGTCACCTCCGGGGCAGGCGGGGATCGAACTCATGCGGAAGTGGCTTTAGTTTCTCAGTGCAGTGCTTTAACCCGCTGCGCCACCAGGGAGGGCCCGCTTTGTGTAAATTTTAAGACACCTTGGAAAGTGATAAGATATCAAATAAATGTATGCCAAACAAAATACAAATGTCTGTTTTTTTATTACCCCAATGTGTTTTCAGCTGAAATTATGTCAACATAAGTACTATAGACCTTTATAATTTAAATAGCTAATAGCCCATCATGTTAGTTGATTTTAAATACAAACTGATGCTTATAAATACATTTTTCTCTAATTTTTATTTTTACATTTTTACTCTTCCCTATGATGTACACTATTTAAAAAGTAGAATGTTTTCGGCCCTCACTGGTGGCGCAGCAGGTTAAAGCACTGCACTAAAAAGCTTAAGCCACTTCCGCATGAGTTCGATCCCGGCCTGTCCTGGAGGAGATCCACATGGTGCGGCAGACCTCTGAGGTACTCTGCTCCCCTCAGCAGTGTACCTCCTCTATCTGCCTGTTCTGCTCCCCACTGTGTCCCTGGTGAATCCTCTCACCCTCCGCATCTCTGGCCTGTACCCCAGCTCTATATGAATAAATAAATAAATCTAAAAAAAAAAAAAAAAGTAGAACGTTTTGCTTTTCCAAATCTTAATTTAACTAAACTTCTTCGTCAATAAATTAAATTTGTATATGCTGGTGCAATATTAGAAAAATGTGTATGTGTACACACACACACACAAATCCTAAAAAGAATTTAAAGACCATTTACTTCAAAGTTACATTCAATGCCTTTATTTCTTTCATGTTACACTTTTGTTACATGTGATGTTACAAGAATTCTGAGGTAAAATTACAGAGTAATTCCTAATTTAAAGTAAATGAAATAATCCAATTTTAACAATGATTACATGAAGATCATTAAAACATTACACCAGGACATCTAAACTTTAGGAATTTCATAACATGTGACATCAATAAAGTTTAGTATTTCTTATTTGATCTTGTCTCTATTCAATTGAGCACACTAAATAAACCTTATGAATTTCTCTCTTGCCACCTGGAGAGAGAATAAGTCTCTGGAGGTTTCCAGAGGTGTTTTCTGGAAACACCTCAGAGTTACCACATCAAAGAGTTCACGGTTTGATTGTGGGAACTTCATCAAAAGTCTCCAACGGGTTTTTGGTTATTTGACAAAAAAGGGATCACAGATCGTTGTGAAACAATAGTTAATTATCCATTTAATCAAGTGAAAGTGAAAGACTTGAAAAGCAAATATAGAAATGTTAGCATATAGACCTGGGCCCCAAAACTCACATGCTCTAAAGCAGTCCAGCTATTAACATGCACAAAGACAAACATACTGAGTGTTAAAGAACTTTGATAGGGTTAATATGCATAGAGAACAGAAGGAAAATAGTTTCCCAATAAAACACCCCAAATTTACCTCTCCCCTGTGTATCAATGCCCAGTAAAATAGGGTTGGTCTAAAGTGGGGTCGCTGATACCCAAAAGATTGCCATAAATCTAAGGTACTTTCTCATGGGAACCAATAGAGAGAAAGGGGTCAAGCAAGCCTGGGATGTCAGCTCCCATTGCCAGCCACGCACCTGTCTCTATATGTCTCTCCTCACATGTGTTCTCCAATCCCCTAAATCCAAAGTTGAGTAGCAATCAAGTCCTTCTTCACATATCTCTCCTGTGTCTCTCCTGACCCCACCTGCCTTTCATGTCATGTAGCTTCACCTTGTCACT